CACCTGAGCAATGCATGCCACTAGTTTCTCCATACAGGAGGCGTCTTGAAGCTGTCATTGACAACAAAGGCTTTTGTACAAGGAAGTGTGTTCAATACTTTTTCCCTGTGCCATTCCACATCATTACAAATAACTTCATTTCTGGACATTTATGGTTTGATTTCTTTGTATGTATGGATCACTTGGGTTGTTACCGACATCTGGTGAAAATTTCATGTCATTAGCACCTCTAGTAATATATTTACTGAGAAAAATGTTGATGTGTTCAATACTTATATTACCCGCTGTATTTTACACAGTCAATGTTTGTATTAAATTTTGAATAAATGTTATAAAAACAGAAGGTTTACACTTAAAATTTGCATGATCTAATTTATCAGTAGCTAACAAGTCTGCAGATGATAACCGCTAAATAACAAGCTATTTCATCATTGTTTACCTGGTACTTACCTAGCTTTTTCATTGTACTGACCTGCTATTGTCCAGGTACATATCAGCATGTATAAGAAAGTTTTAGTCACCTGACAAAACATCCCAATATTTTTTTGCTCTTCTATCATTATTCACCGTTACCAGCTCCGTCATTTAAAACTCACCTCCTGCATCATGAAGTGTTATCCTGCCCTGTGAACTTAAAAATTCCAGAGGTAGATTCTTCATGTTGTCAACACAGGCAAAGTGCCCTTGGGGTTGGACAGAAGGAGGGCAATGGTGTCACAAAATTCAGCTGAGAACTCAGCTTTAATCAGACTGGAATTACAGGGCAGAAGGAGAGGCCTGACCGTCTTCTCCCCTCTCTTCAAAGCAGATCGGCACACTTATGGATGGACAAACAGGCATGGAAAGTCACACGTGCATGCCGTCAGTTTCTTGAAGTGAACTTGCAGAACTTGGGGGGGAGTATGTTTCCAACTGGGTTGTTTTGCAAAGAGCGGTGTGAGGGGAAAATAATGAGGTTTCTTTTGCTCAGTTCTTATATTGATGTTTAGCAACACCGTAAACCTGGGGGAGCCTCTATTTTGTGTACAAAAAAACAGGTTGTGATATCCTACAGAGGCGTTCAAGAGCATTATTCTGTAGATTCTTCCTTGATTCATTATTCATCTTTATTATCTCTTTGAAACTGGGTTATTTGAATTCAGTGCAGCATAAAATGGGATTTTCTCTCCAAAATAACAATCCTCTACTCTGACTGGAAATTACAGTAAGGAAGAGAAAGAGAAAAACATAAGAATATGTTCTATTCATTATATTTCCATTTTTTTATTTCTTTAAACTAAATTCTAAAGTCAGATGTGCTCACAAACATTGACAAATTACATAATTAGAAGACCCAGCATTCCATGAAGAAATGCATATAAACATGACATTTAGTTGAGAAACATTGTATAAGAAATGATTTGTAGCCATTTTGATATAAAGTTGAAAACAATGTTATGAACAACTTTATGCACTTTCAAGATGTCCTAAGCATTGTGTTGTAAATGACTCTGAAATACTACCACATTAAATTTTAGTTCAATATCTGTTGAACTGAATCATGGTATTTTTTTTAAGTGGCTTAATGTTGTTTAGCTGAGGTTGGCCTCTTAAAGAGTAAATAAACCCCAAATCAACTTTATTTTGTACATAAATTGTTCAAATGTGTCTTTAAGTATATTATATTTTTATTTCTGTTCACATTTTGACATTGTCATGTAAATTCTGCAACATTTAGCATAAAACCATTTTAGTGCTGCCCTCTATGGGTTTAACAGTGGCTAATGCAATTTAGTTTTTTTTCTTTATCTATTGGTTAAAACAGTTTAGCTTGGTTAATGTCTACATTGTAGCTCCTGTGTTCGGGTATAAAAGCCTCTCACTCGGAGACATGCCCCTGCAGTGAGTCAGGAGTTGGAACAGCGAGCACTGCGGTGAAAGTTTTTTTTTTTTTTTTTTGCTGTTTTGATCGTTAGCCCATATTAGCAACAATGCTGCTAACATCACTTAAACATTCAGAAACTGGACCCATTCTGTCCACCACTGCCTAGTCTGTTTGTGGTTCAATATTTTTAAACCAACTACAACATTGCTGTGCTGTGTCATTGTCAATATCCCCTCGGTAATAAATCTGTTTGCTGATGTTTAATCCTGCAAGCAAGGGGGCCACTCACTATTGCCATCAGTTTATTATCATTCCTGAGCTGCAGCACTGTAGTTTTTTTTTTTTTCACAAGTTGGCTTCCCCACCACTGAGACCACCTATCTTGGCAGCTCAGAGGGGTATCAGAGACAAGCTGTCTTCAAACCCACTTGTTGCCTCGGTGTCTTCTGAATGATTCAAGAAAACAGAACACGCGTCATTCCCAGACTGAGCTGTCTATTAAATGAGGCTAGTACTGTCTGTCGAATTAAACTAGCTGTCACATTCTCAGAGTTGTAAAGTAATTAAATACAAATACTTTGTTACTGTACTTAAGTAGAAAGTATAAATATAAACTATTCTGACACCATATTAGTTCGTACACAGTTTCTGACATAAAATATAAATATATTTGATATGTTAAGACTTTTACTCAAGTAATATTCTTAGAGACATTAACCATTACCAAAGTAATGTTGTGGTAAGATACCTGTACTTTCACTCATATCACCTTGAGGTTCTTTATACCAGTCTTTTTCAACCCTGGTCCTCAAAGCACACTGCCCTGCCTGATTTAGATGTGTCCTTGCTGATTTCAGTCGATAACTGATTAACAGGCTTTTTTTGAACTGCAGTCTTCTGAGGTATGTCAAAGCAGGGAAACCTCTAAAACATGCAGGGCGGTGTGCCTTGAGGACCAGGGTTGAAAAACACTGTTTTATACAACACTGCACATTCCTTTGACCTGACCACAGCCCTGCTTAACCGTATCCTCTCATCCCCACACTTGGCCGTGCCCCTCAGTGTCTCCTGGCACCGCCTTCTTCTTTTTTTTTTCAAAATTTGCCTGTGGATGGGGTTATTTTTTTCATAAGGGGGTTAGTTGCACCTTAAGTTGCACTGACTCCAAAGGGTAATCAGTAGTGCTTTCAAGTTTAAATGAAATCATTCCAGTGTTTTGTGAGATATTCTAACAGAAAGGTACACGAACAACCCACTAACCATATAGATAATGAAAACAAGTTGTTGTGTGTGTTTCTACTCTTTTTACCATCTAGCCTTCACGTTGAGGGGTTCAGCGGAACAGCCGGCAAGACCAGCAGCCTCACGCACACCGGAAGCCAGTTCAGCACCAAGGACAGAGACAACGACCGCTGCACCTGCAAGTGCTCACAGCTCGCGTCAGGAGGTAACACAGCGTCACTCAAACAGGGATACTCATCTGCCTTGATCTCTGTCTTTACAACTCAAGCCGAACACTTTCACACACACCCTTAGAAACACCCTGCAGAACTGTTCAGTTTCCCTTTGCTCTGTTAAAAATGTACTAGTGACATCTTTCTTTATGCATTTGGGTTACATATGTTTTTATCAGCCTACCTCTCATTTGGTTTTCTATTTCCAAATTAGACATTGTATTTCATCGCTGTTTCAAAATTTTCCAACTTTTCTTGCTGACCCGCCATGGGTTGACCTTCTGGTTCTCGGTCCTAATCAGAAATCACCTCTTTCTAATATAAGGAAAGCTTATGTAGGAGTTTTTGGGTATTTTCTAAAAATGGATAATTTGTGAATATATTTAAATATATTATATTTAAATATATTATTCCTCGAGGCACCACACTCTTTAATTTGATCAAGGATTGACCCAGGAAAGAGACGAAAAACTGTAACTTTATTGTAATCAGTCTCAGAATAATTGTACCCAAAATGATTTTATGAGTTCTT